GGGGGTTGTGTAAATATTTTGCGGCACTCGCAACTGCTTAAGGTCATATGAGCGCGCGGGACACATTTAAAACATTTTCAGTTGCTAGAAATTTTTATTTTTTACCCGGGTGGCGGCCGAAGTCTACTCTGATCGATTTTGGACCTCCAAAGGGTCTTAAACGTGCACAACTTGCACACGGAACCTCCAAGATTTTTTGCTTTGCCCTTGTCCGAGAGGGATAGGTGTAGATCTTTCCTACCAGAAGATGAGAGGTGGGGCTGGGGTAATTGTTTATTTGTTTTGGTGTTGGGTGAGATGGCAGGTTCGGGAGTTAAAAGTTTTGTTTTAGTAGAGGTTTTACGGCGCTCGCAGCTGCATAAGGTCATATAATCTCCATAAGATTAGAGCTGTTACAAGAGAGTAACAAACATAAAAAAGAAAAAGGGGAGATAAGGACGATAGATGTTTGATAGGAAAGAAGAAGCAAACCACACCAGAGCACCCGCCAATCACCCCGAAGCTCAGCTCAGCCTGATGTTGTGTCCTTGGGAAAAGCACTTTACACGAATGATCTCGATTTGGCTCGGGCCTGTTGGAGACTAATGTTATATTTGGAGGTCCCGCCTCTTAAATACACGTGCCGTGTTGCAAGGGGCCTTCACCTATACAATTTCTTGCGTTTTTACACTTCGTATTTAGGTTATAACATTACACTATCCGTATCAAATCAAGTGGGTGGTTGGCGTGTGCTCTGGGTGTGGTTTGCTCTGGGTGTGGTTTGCTCCTTCTTTTCTATCAAACACCTATCGTTCTTATCGGCCTCTCTTCCTTCTTTTTGCGTTTGTTACTCTCATGTAACTCTTCGAATCGTCGTCACTTGTATGACTTTTTAGTGTTGCGTGTACCGTAAAACTCTTACTAAAACTAACTAAACTTCCAGGCCTTAAGGATCGAAGCAACCAACTCTGCTCTGTCAGCTTTTCCGTGCGCTCTCTGATGTCGTCTTGCCACCTTCTTTCTGGTCTTCCTCTTGATCGTTTTCCTGTTCTTTATGACTCTTACTCTGAATTAAATTAAACTAAAAAGCTAAGACATTAAAGACCTTCTGAAGCCTTACAAGTGAGTTTTCTTTTATCTTATCTTATCTCGTCTCGTCTTGTTTCGTCTCGTCACCTCACCTCACCTCATTCTTTCTTATCTTATTCTATCTTACCTCATCGTATCTTAGCTTAGCTTAGTTTAGCCTGTCTTATCTTATCTTGTCTATCTTATCTTTCGTATCTGATCTTATCTGATCTTACCTTTTTATCTTACCACCTCTTGTCTTAACTTTTCTTATCTTATCTCGGCAGCGTGCAGCTGTAACAAGCGGGGCTCTGATCGTGACTACTGTGACCAGATGAAATGTCTTACCTTATCTTACCTTACCTTACCTTACCTTACCTTACCTCACTTTACCTTCCCTTACCTTATCGTATCTTTTTAAAATCTTACCTTACTTTACCTAACCTTACCTTACCATACCATACCTTCCCTTCCCTTCCCTTCCCTTCCCTTACCTTACCTTATCTTATCTTACCTTACCTTACCTTACCTTACCTTACCTTACCTAACCTTAGCTTACCTTACCTTACCATACATTACTGCACCTTATCTTGCCTTACCTACCTTACCTTACCATACCTTATCTTACCTTATCTTACCTTACCTTACCTTATCTTACCTTACCTTACCTTACCTTATCTTACCTTACCTTACCTTACCTTACCTTGCCCTGACTTACCTTACCTTACCTTACCTTACCTTATCTTACCTTACCTCACCTTACCTTACCTTACCTTATCTTACCTTATCTTACCTTACCTTACCTTACCTTACCTTACCTTACCTTACCTTACCTTACCTTATCTTACCTTACCTTACCTTATCTTACCTTATCTTACCTTATCTTATCTTACCTTACCTTACCTTACCTTACCTTATCTTACCTTATCTTATCTTACCTTATCTCCCCAGCGTGCAGCTGTAACAAGCTGGGCTCTGACCGGGACGACTGTGATCAGATGACCGGGCGTTGCGTGTGCAAACCACTCATCACAGGCATGAAGTGTGACCTGTGCCAGAACGGCAATATCCTGGGTGTCGACGGCTGCAGAGGTGTGTGTGTGTGTGTGTGTATGTGTGTGTGTGTGTGTATGTGTGTGTGTGTGTTTGTCTGTGTGTGTTAGTCTGTGTGTGCGTTTGTGTGTGTTTGTGTGTCGGGGGGGAGGGGATTAGTGTGTGTGTGGGTGGGTGTAAGTGTCTCTGTGTGTGCCTGTGTGTGAATGTGTGTACGTGTGTGGGTGTGTGTAGAACAACAATAACAACAACAACACAACAACAACAACAACAACAATTATAACAACAACAACAATAACAACAGCAAACAACAACAACACAATAATAACAACACAACAACAACAATAATAATGACAACAATAACAATAACAACAACAACAACAACTACAACAAACAATAACAACAACAACAACCAACAACAACCTATAACAACGACAACAACCACCCATCACACACTGACCTACGGTTTCCCCAGACACGTTCATGCCCGACACGTGCTCCGAGGTGGACTGTCTGTACGGCGCCACGTGCAGGAAGGAGCGTAGCCGGCCCGTCTGTGTCTGTGAGCACGTCTGCGACTCTGACAGCGAGGCTCCCGACATCGTCTGCGGCTCAGACGGCCAGAACTACGGGTCTGAGTGTCAACTAGAGCTGTTTGGATGTCGCCTGCAGAAGCTGATCACTGTCGCGCACTACGGCGCCTGTAAAGGTGGGTTTATGGCT